CTCCTTTTCCCCTACTTTAAAATGAATAATCATCTCTGATTACTATTAAGGGCCACCGAAACTTGCACTTCATATTATCTTTCCTGCACTTAAAGATTTCTTTCCTTCCATAATTTACTCTCCTGTGCCATCAATCTCTCCTTTATAAGATCATCCCTATTATCCCTAGATCATCCCTATTATGATCATCCCATAGGGATGATAATAGATCATCCCTATTATGTAAATATGTACCAATTATCTCCCATTATATATATTTTTAAAGTAGCCCTTCATTCCCTACACAGCCAGGCTCCACCTCCTCCCCCATTTGTTGCCCTTTGTAGCCCCAACTCTCAAAAGTATCAACTCCCACAGTCTCTAATTTCTAACTTTCATTCACTATTCAACTGCTCCAACAGGTCCACTTCCATAGTTCACTGCAACTGCCCCTCAAACAGATGGCACACTTAAAGGGATGAATGAGGAAAGCTCAATGGAAAAACTATTAACGAAAGTATGAGCAGGATTAAGGTAACATATTTTTTATTTTAAATGTACTATTATTTTTGTCACATACTCTCAAATGGCAGTTTTCCTATGTATTTATTTCCTTGTTGCATACCTCCTTCTACTACACCATAAGCTCCATGAGGGTAGAAATTATTAATTCAATTCAAACACCACTGAGAACCCATTATATGCAAGGTATAAAGAATAATGCAAAGAGACATGGATCCAGTTCCTTGATGTATACAACTACTTAGGAAGAAAAATACAGACTTAAATATAATGCAAAGCAGACACTATGCCATGTAGTAGTGGGACAAAGTACTATGGAATCAAAAGAGAGATAAAATGTAGAAAAAGTGGTGAATAAGAAAGCCTTCATGTAAGAAGATAGTTCTATGATGGCTTGGAAGAAAAATGAAGAAAAAGCATTTAAAGCAGACCAAACAGGCTTAATAAAAAGGCACACACACACAAAAAGGAAAGGGCACATTGGAAGAGGAGGTTAAAGAGATCAATGGAACGAGAGCAAAACAAGGATTATCAATGTCTAGGAAGCGTCCAAGGATGACCTGGTCCTTGGTGAAGACCTGCACTGTGCTCACTGACAGCACAGCACCCGACAGGTCACACTCCGCACTGCCCCAGGGGCACAAGAAGGGGGCCGAGGTGACTCCTAAGGAGATAAGAGATTTTAAACAAAAAACTCTCAAAGGAAATCCAGAGCAGTATGATTAAAAGGAAAAAGAATGCCAAAATCAGCAGTCTTCCCGAGGAGCAGTTCAAGCAGGGTGAGCTTACTGCATGCCTAGCTCCAAGACCAGGCCAGTGTGGCAGAGCAGATGGTTACATGCTAAAGGGCAAGGAGCTGGAATTGTAGCTGAGAAAAATCAAAGCCTGGAAAGACAGCCTTGGCTGTGTAGCTCAGTGGGCCTATGAAGGCCAACTCAGTGGCTGGTGAGCATGGGCCTATGAAGCAAAGGGTCACCAATTCGATTTCCAGTCAGGGCACATGCCTGGGTTGCAGGCCAGGTACCAAGTAGGGGACACATGAAAGACAGCCACACATCGATGTTTCTCTCCCACTCTTTCTCCTTCCCTTCCCCTCTCTCTAAAAATAAATAAAAAAAATATTTTATTAAAAAAACCTGTAAAGACAAATCAATCCTCTTCTCTCCTATCATAGTAATAAAGGTGTTTATTCTAGAAAAAAATAAATTAAAATATTTAAAAATAAAATAAATACCCAGAGAAGTAGAAACATTGAGCCAAATCTAGAGTATAGCAACACAGGAATTAAAATCACATTCCATGATTTATTTATTCAAGAACTCACGTTCTCTCATTCAACACATATACAATGCTTCCCATCCACCCCTACTCCTTAATGTCACCCATGATACCAATAATGAAAGCAAACCACAAGTGGAAAAAGCCACAAAAGTCAATACATACTTTCATCTCCAAATCTTTCAAAGAAATTGGCCAAAAAACCAAGCCTTCCCTCAAAGATGATTCTTATCTAAACCCAAACTAACGACAAAGATGAATTCCATGGTTTCAGTATGCAGGGGACTCTGAAAGAAAGAATTTTTAAGAACTCTGATTCTGTGTCAACACATCATAAATATCTATGATATCAAGTATGTAGGCAGTGCTGTTAATTAGGCCCAATATTTTTCAAGCACAAATTCCATCAACCTCAAATCTCACTCAGTTTGTTTCAAAAGGATGCTAAACATTTACATGTAGAGATTTTTACAAAGACAGTTAAAAAAACACTGTTGACTGTCTGAAAGTAACTGTTCCAGATCTAACACTCAACTAAGGTAAAGAGAGAAATGACATCTTCTCTGGGAAAGCAGTATCAGGTTACTGGGGTTGTCCACCATCTGTTGACACAGACAAAACTTCCCTCCTACAAATCACCCCCACCCTGGGATTCATTACAAGACAAACTGGTAGAGAGCCTATTTGCAAACTCAGAAATCCCAACTTAAAACTTTGGCCACAACTATCACATGATGATATACTTTCTGAAGTATGCAGAACTGACTACATTTAACTTAATCACTTTAGCACTGAGGAGTAAGAGTATGAACTCTGGAGCCAGACTATCTAGGTTTGAATCCTAGTCACTACTTGCTCTATGATTTTGGGCAAACTGCTTAACTCCTATGCCTCAGATTCTTCAATTGAAAAATAAAGATAGTAATAGGAACTGTCTTCACATGGGTGATTAATGTATGTAAATCACTTAGAACATGCCTGGATATAATGTTAGCTGCTGCTAGTATTATTTTTACCTGATACCCTTACTAGACTATCAATTCTCGTTTGTGGCTCAAACACAGAGTGGTTTACCTGCCTAATCATGCAATTTTAATGTTTCTGAATTAATGATTCAATATACCAAATTCAAAAAATAGCTCTATAAAACACAGCCTGGAGTCTTCCTATTGAATCATATACTTATCAGTCAAGCAAAGTTCTGGCAAACATTAATCAACAGTAATGTTTACTTAACTCCAAGAAATCTATATGAATTATCACTATGATATGGAACTTCTAAAATCTTACACTCAAAGTAAATATCTTTCATTTTGCTTTTAATTACAAATTAGTCTCTGATATAATTCAGATTAATAAATTTAGGTCCATATATAGTAATTAAAATACACTGAATCTTTTATTAAGATATTTACTATCAATCTGCAAATCTGCCTTTGTAAAAGATTTAACAACAACAAAAGAGAATAGGTGCCCAGCCCAACATCTGCAGTCATCTGGAAATGTAAATGAAAACCATTCTATGATATCACTTTACACCTATGAGAATGGCTAAAAATCAGAGATACTAACAACTCAAGTAAGAGTGGAGAAGATACAGAACTGGTGAACACTGCTAATGGAGAACCATTTGGCAATTTCCTATAAAGTTAAACACACATCTATCCTGTGACTCAACAGTTTCATTCCTAGGTATTCAACCAAGAGAAATGAAAGAGGTCTGTCCAGAAGGTATCCAGCCATGTAATATGAAAAATCGAGACATTTGTTGAAGAAGGTACATGATATAAGATACATTATGCTCAAACTAAAAAGTTTCAGCACAGCAAAGGAAATCATCAACAAAATAAAAAGACAACCCACAGAATGGGAGAACATATTCACTGATACATCTGATAAGGGGCTACTATCTGAAATTTATAAAGAATTTACAGAGCTCAACACAAAAAAACCCCAAACACCCCAATTAAAAATAAGCAAAGCACCTGAATAGACACTTCTCCAAGGAGGACATACAGATGGCTAAAAGACATATGAAAAGATGCTCAGGATCACTAATCATCAGAGAAATGTAAATTAAAACCATAATGAGACATCATCTCATGCCTGTCAGAATGGCTATCATCAATAAATCAACAAACAACAAGTGTTGGCAAGGATATGGAGAAAGGGGAACCCTTTTGCACTGTTGGTGGGAAGGCAGATTGGTGCAGTCACTGTGGAAAGCAGTATGGAGATACCTTAGAAAATTAAAAATGGATCTGCCTTTTGACCCAGTGATCCCACTTCTGGGAATGTATCTGCAGGAACCCAAAACACTAATTTGAAAGAACATTAAGAACCCCTATGTTCATTGCAGCATTATTTACAATCACAAAGATATGGAAGCAGCCCAAGTGTCCATCATGAGATGAGTGGATAAAACCACTGTGAAACATTTACATAACAGAATACTACATGGCTGTATGAAAGTAGAAAGTCTTACTCTTTGTGACAGTATAGACAGACCTGGAGAAAATCATGCTAAGTGAAATAAGCTGGTCAGAGACAAATACCATATGATTTCCACTCGTATGTGGAATCTAATGAACCACCTGAACTAACAGGAAAATGGGGACAAACTCATGGATGGAAAGCAGGATGACAGCTAGCTGGGAAAGAATTGAGCAAAAAGGGAAAAGGACTCAAGGACGTGGACAACAGTGTGGTGATTGCTGGGGGGAGGGGGATGTAAGGGGACTAAATGGTAATGGATACAAATATAATAAAGATTAAAAGAAATAACACAGCCCTGGATGTAGTAGCTCAGTGGATTGAGTGCAGGATGTGAACCAAAGGGTCACAGGTTCAATTCCCAGTCAGGGCACATGCCTGGGTTGCAAGCCAGGTTTCCAGTAGGGGGAGCACACGAGGCAACCACACATTGATATTTCTCTCCCTCTCTCCTTCCCTTCCCCTCTCTCTAAAAATAAGTAAAATCTTTCAAATTTTTTAAAATAAAATTTAAAAAGGAAACATTGTACATAGGACAATGACTCCCCAGTCCCATTCAAAGTAGGCATCTTAAGACCTTACACAATTCTTCCAATCACCATCAGCTGCCCCACAGCATTTTCCTGAATCTCATCAACAGTCTGAAATCTCTTCCCTTTCAAAGATGATTCTGGGAAAAGTCAAAATCCACACAGTGCCAAATCTGGGCTGTAGAGGGTCTGAGTCACCTGGGAGATTTGATGTTTCGCCAAAAAAACTCTGCATAAGACATGCTGCATGAGCAGGTATGTTGTCGTGATGAAGCTGCCAATCACCAGTTGCCCTTGCTGCAGCCTTCTGAATCATCCAAACAGTTTCTGCAGAGGAATGTTCAAGCTTAATGCAAAATCTGACACAAATTCATTGCTCTACTCACTCAGTCATTTTGAATATGACAGCCACACTCAACATATGCTCACTCAACAGCATCTACTGCCCCCACTGACTAGTACAGTGAAGTCATCATTGTTCATTCATGTGCATTCCAGTCCACTCTCCTTGGCTCCCAGCTTACACTGAGGTAACGCAAACCATTCTCATTATATTAAGAATGGCTGGACTTTTCCAGACATACTTCACTGTGTATGTTCACAGACTTGTACAAGAATGTTAATAGTAGCATTATTCATAAAAGGCAAAAAGTAATAATAATGCAAATGATTATCAACAGAATTGAAAAATGTCTGATATAAATATAAAATGGAATACTGTGACACCTAGGAAATTATCTGTTGTTTATAATTATGATTTGACTTTACGATTAAGTGAAAATCTTATTTGTATTTTATTCAATTCTCTCATTTTAAAATACATTTTGAAAATCCTTAATTGAAGATAATTTTTATACTAAAAATAACCTTTTTTTTGTTTAGTAACTCATTTGAGTTTTCTTGCCACAATATAAACTTTTAAAAAAGATTTTATTTATTTATTTTTAGAGACAGAGGAAGGGAGAAAGAGAGGGAAAGAAACATTGATGTGTAAGAGAAACACTTATGGTTGCCTCTCTCATACCCCCAAATGGGACCTGACCCACAACCCAGACATGTGCCCAGACCAGGAATCAAACCAATGACCTTTCAGTTTGTGGGACAATGACCAAACCACTGAGCTACACCTGCCAGGGCCACAATATTAACTTTTGAGAAATTTTTTACTTGATGTTTTTAAGGCACAAATAAATCTCAGGGTTTCATTAACTGATATTCTTATAGAAACTCTTAAATGTATTTGCACATTTTTTTTTTTTACTCATTCTTGGTGCACATTCATCCTGAGTAAAATGTTTTCTCTAAAAAGTATGCACATATAAAAAGAAGACCAGCTTACAATGACTACTGTGATGAAAATTGTTGTAGGGAGATACAACTTAGATTTGAGGTAAATTAAATACTTAAATGGTGGTTTAGATATTACTTTAATAGTATTGTATTTATTTTCTAAATATTGTGTTGTTTATGCTCCCCTCTACCTAGCCCACCCAATTCCACAATCCCCACACTGTTGTCCATGAGCACAGGTCATGCATATTATGTTCTTTGACTAATCCCTTCACCTTTCAACCAGTCTCCACCTCCCCTCTCCTCTTAACAGCTGTCAGTCTGTTCCATGTTTCTATGTCTCTGATTCCATTTTGCTCATTAGATTCCACTTATAAGTGAGATCATATGGTGTGGTATATGTTTTTCATTGGCTGGCTAATATCACTTAGCATTAATAGTCCCCAGTTCCATCCATGCTGTTGTAAAAGGTAAGAATTCCTTCTTTTTTAACTGCTGCATAGTATTCCACTGTGTAAATGTACCACAGCTTTCTTATTCACTAATCTACTGATGGGCACTTAGGCTATTTCCAAATCTTGATTATTGTAAATAATGCTGCTATGGACAAAGGGGCTTATATATTCTTCTGAATTGGTGTTACAGGATTCTTAGGATATATTCCTAGAAGTGGAATCACTGGGTCAAAAGGCAATGCCATTTTTAGCTTTTTAAGGAGACTCCATACTATTTTCCACAGTCTGCATTTCCACCAACAGTGCACTAGAGTTCCCTTTTCTCCAGATCCTCATCAGCACTTGCTCTTTGTTGATTTATTAATGATAGCCATTCTGACAAGTGTGAAGTAATATCTCATTGTGATTTTAATTTGCATCCCTCTGATGGCTAGTGATGTAGAACATTTTTTTTCATGTCTACAGGTCACCTGTATGTTCTCCTTGGAGAAGTGTCTAGTCAGATCCTCTGCTTATTTTTTAATTGGACTGTTTGTCTTCTAGGTGTGGAGTCATATAAGTTCTTTACATATTGTAGAAATTAAACCCTTGTCCAATATATCATTGGCAAATACATACTCCCATATAGTGGGTTCCCTTTTTATTGATAATGGTTTCCTTAGGTGAACAGAAGCTTTTTAGTTTGATGTAGTCCCATTTGCTTATTTTTTCATTTGTTTCCCTTGCCCTAGGATATACACCAACAAAAATATTGCTATGGGAGATACCTGAAATTTTACTGCCTGTGTTTTCTTCTAGGTTTTTTTATGGTATCACAACTTATATTTAAGGCTCTTACCCATATGAGTTTATTCGGGTGTATGGTGTAAGTTGGTGGTCTAGTTCTTTCTTTCTTTCCTTCCTTCCTTCCTCTTTTTTTTGCATGTACCAATTCAATTCTCCCAACACCACTTATTAAAAAGAGATTGTGTTTACTCTATTGTACGCCCTTCCCTCCTTTGTCAAACATTAATTGACCATAGAGATTTGGTTTATTTCTGACCTCTCTGTTCTGCTTCATCGATCTATGTGTCTGTTCTTATACCAGTACCAGACTGTTTTGATTATAGTGACCTTATAATATAGTTTGATATCAGGTATGGTACTGTGATCCCTCCAACTTTGTTCTTCTTTCTCAAGACTGCTGAGGCTATTCAGGGTCTTTTTCATTTCCATATAAATTTTTGGAATATTTGTTCTAGATCTGTGGAATATGCCATTGGTATTTTAATAGGAATTGTGTTGAATCTATAGATTGCTTTGGGTAGTATGGACATTTTAATGATGTTGATTCTTCTAATCCATGAACACAGTATATGCTTCCATTTATTTGTATCTTCCTCAGTTTCTTTCTTCAGTGTCCTTTCACTTTCTAAGCACAGGTTTTTTTACCTCCTTGGTTAAATTTATTCCTAGGTACCTTATTTTTGTTGTTGTTGTTGCAATAGTAAATGGGATTTTCTTAGTTTCTTTGTTAGTTCATTATTGGGGAATAAAAAGAAATCAATTTCTGAGTATTGATTTTGTATCCTGCTACTTTTCTGAATTAATTTATCAGGTCTAGTAATTTTTGGTAGAGTTTATAGAATTTTCTAGGTACAATATCATATCATCTGCAAATAATGACAGTTTTACTTCCTCCTTTCCAATTTAGATGCCTGGTGAAAATGAGCATGCCTGTCTTGTCTCCGATCTTAAGGGAAATGCTTTTATGTTTTGCCTATTGAGTATGATGTTGGCTGTAGGTTTTTCATACATGGCCTTTATTATGCTGAGGTATGATCCCTCTATTCCCACTTTGCTGAGAGTTTTTATCATAAATGGGTCCTGGGTTTTATCAAATTCTTTCTCTGCATCTATTGATATGATCATATGATTTTTATCTTTCATTTTGTTTATGTGATATATGACATTTATTGATTTGTGAATATTGTACCAACCCTGTATCCCCAGGATAAATCCCACTTGATCATGGTATATGATCTTTTTAATGTATTGCTGGAGCCATTTGCTAATTTTTTGAGAATTTTAGCATCTCTGTTCATCAGGGATATTGGCCTATAAGTTTCTTTCTTTGTTGTGTCTTTACCTTGTTTTGAATTTAGAATAATACTGGTCTCGTACAAAAGAGCTTGGAAGTCTTCCCTTTTCTTGAATTTTTTGGAATAGTTAAAAAGGAAAGGTGTTAGTTCTTTGAATGATTAGTAAAATTTGTCTGTGAAGCCACCTGGTCCAGGACTTCAGTTTGCTGCGAATTTTTTGATTACTGTTTCAATTTCATTAGTTATCAGTTTATTTGGTTTTTCTGCCTCTTCCTGATTCTGTTTTGGACAATTGTATGTTTTTAGAAATTTACTGATTTCTCCCAGGTTGCCCCATTTCTTGGCACAGCTGTTCATAGGATTTTCTTACAATCCCTTGTATTTCCATTGTATCAGTTACTTCTCCTCTTTCATTTCTGATTTTGTTTGGGTCCTCTCTTTTTTCTTAATGAGTCTGGTTTAAAGGTTCATCAATTTTGTTTATCTTTTCAAAGAACCAGCTCCTGGATTCACTGATCTTTGAATTGTTTCTCTACATCATTTATTTCTACTCTGTTCCTGATTACTTCCTTCCTTCTATTCACTCTGGGCTTTGTTTGTTGTTGTTTTTCCAGTTCTCTTAGTTATAGTGTTAGATTTTTTATTTCTACCTTCTTGAAGCAGGCCTGTAATGCTTTGAACTTCACTCTCAGTACTGCTTCCATTGTGTCCCATAGGTTTTGGGTTGTTGCGTGTTCATTTGTTTCTACATAATTTTTTATTTCTCCCTTAATCTCACTGATAACCTATTCATTATTTAATAACATGTTAGTCTCCATGTATCAGAATGTTTGTGAGGTTTTTTTTCCCACAGCATTGATATTTATTTATTTGTTTTAAAGATTTTATTTATTTATTTTTAGAGAAGGGAGGGAGGGGAGAGAGAGAAACATCAATGTGTGAGAGAAACACTGGTCACATACCCTCAACCTAGGACTGGCCTGCAACCCAGGCAATGTGTCCTGACTGGAGATCGAACCAGCGACTTCCTCTTTCTCCAGGCAGTGCTCCATCACTGAGCCACACCAGCCAGAGCTGTTTTTGAGTTTTTTGAGGTTGATTTTTAGTTTCATGCCATTGTGATTCAATAAAATGCTTGATGTGATTTCAATTTTCTTCAATTTGTTAAGACTTATTTTGTGTCCTACCATATGGTTTATCTTTGAAAATGATCCATGTGTACTTGAGAAGAATGTGTATTATGCTGCTTTGGGATGAAATTTTCTGTAAATATCAATTAAATCCATTCAATCTAGTGTATAGTTTGAGGTCACTATTTCCTTGTTGACTTTTTGTCTGGAAGATCTACCCATTAGTGACAGTGGGGTATTAAAATCCCCTACAATGACTGTATTACTGTTGATCTCATCCTTAAAGTCCACCAAGATTTTCTTTATATATTGAAGTGCTCCTATATTAGGTACATATATGTTTACAAGGGTTATATCCTCTTATTGGATTG